TTAGCTGGATCCTAAAATGATTTTCTTGTGTGCTTCTAAGAGCTCCTAACAGTGTATTTATCTCAAATGTCTATCAAGCATCCAAAGCTAAATGAAACAACACCTGTCTCTTAGGCCAGGTGGATAGTTTGTTTCTTGTGTAATTTAGGGTGAGACCCTCCTTTCTTATACAACCTTACAAATAGACCCCTAACTTCTTACTTAACCACTTCTAGGAATGTAGACTGAGCACATAGATCCCCTTTTTTATATACTAACCGGTCATCAGCACTCAGTTGACCTCCTCTTTTACCACTCCCATTTTGGGTTGTAAAAGAAAGCCTGATGGTCACTGCCTGAGGAAAATTCTTACCTGCCTTTATGACCCTGTAAGAATTCAATCCTGATGACCTTGCTCTGGCAGAGGACCACTATTGCTTACATTTATAACTGAACACCTCAGAGACTTGAGAGGACTAAGGTATAAGAAGTTGAGAATGGAAAACTGAGAGGGATAAGGATTTCAATCAGAGAGAACATGTGGACAAGATGGAGGACGAGGAAGAGCCAGATGGGAAAGTACTAGCTGGCTAAGAATGAGATCAAAAAGACCTAGATGAAGCAGAATTATGATGAGAGAATTAAGATAGAACATAGAACAGTAGATAAATATAGAGAGAAATCAGGTAAGAAAGAAGCTAGGCACGAGAACAGAATTGAAGCTGGGCAGATAGGATTTTATCTCAGAGGAATAAAGTAGATGGACCAAGAGCATGGTGTACTTAGATTCATTTCCCAAAAATAGTTCTCACCATTCGTACTTTCTCTTCTGAGCCCCTGGGAAATATATTATTAAGGCTGGTCCTTTTAATAATACACAAGAATGTGTATATGGCAATGAGAAGAACTTTGGTGTCTACTATCTACTTATCCTATGTAAGTTCTAGAAATGAAAGCAGGGGAATCATTCGGCTGCAAGTGACCTCAATGACACTAATTTGGGTTTTAAAAATTATGTATGTATGTATGTGCTAGTGTGGGAGTGTACATATGCCACAACCTAAGTGTAGATATAAGAGAAAAAATTGTAGGAGTGATATCGGTTTCTTAGAGGTTGAACTCAGATCATGAGACTTAGCAGCAACCAACTTCACTCATGGAAACTATTCTCTGGCATTTATTTGTGGCGCTGAGAAAGTGTTATGAACTAACACTCATTGAGTGTTATGAACTCATAATAAACTAACACATTCCATACACAAAAAGGAAAAAGAAAACAAGAGATAGCAGTATATCATCTTCATTTGGAAATAGGATTTATTATTCAGTTTCTCCTGTCTTTCATTATGCTTCAGTGAAAATATTTCTACAATCCAAAAAGAAGACAATATTTTACTGATGTAATGTTTCAACTAATCTTATTTGAGCATCAATGAGACAGCTCTGTTGGAAATGTCTGTCTTGTACAAGGCTGTAATCTCATCTTGATTGCCATATGAAGTTGAACAAAAGTAGACCCCACAAAGTTTTCTTTTCTCCACACATCTGTCATGGCCTAAAAAAATCCCATAGTTATACAAACATACAACAGAATTAAAAAAAATAAATCTCATTGCCATTACATTACCTGGCATCTCTGGATAATTTCCTTAGAAGGCAATACTTCAATATAATATGCCAAATGCATAACTGATGAGGACATGAAGATGTATGGAACTTCAAATAATATATACATATCCATAGTACATCAAGTTACATTGTGAAATATACAGTTGATTGCTGATTATCCTACTTTATTACATCACTTCCACACAGATGAAAATGTTACTTTGGATATACATGAGACATTCAATGTTTCTTATATTCTCATCTATTTTTAATCATTTTAACATTAACATTCTTAATATGTGTTGACAAAACAGCAAACATTGGGAGTACATTATCTACCCTTACACTTGTACTCTGGAGATTCACACATGAGGATCATGATTTCAATTTTATGTTTGACTAATTACTACCATCCAAGTGGGGCTGGATAACAAAAAACATTTCAAGGGAATTTGTGAAAAAAATATGAAAAAATAAAACCAGGAATAGAAACCCATCACCCTTTCACAGACACACTTGCTGGAAAATATCACATACTGCCTAATATTTAAATAAAGATGTACCACTTAGACGATGGCCATCCCATTTTATACACTGTAGCAGGAAAATATCTCTCACTAACTGAAAGCACAATAGAAGATGAACAAAAGTCACAGAAGGAATATAAGGACCACAAAATAAACTTCAATAAATGAATTTGCTACACAGAGTACAATATAATGTCTACCTCAAATGGTGCAAAATAGAAGCCACAATGTCTTTAGTGAAATTTGTTAAAAATTTACTTACTTCAAGGCTGTGATGAAAAAGTTTCTTTTCTTGAACCTGAAGACAATTGTGATGCCTAAAGTTTTTACCAAATTATTTATGTACAGAGTTTTTCTTTTGTATGAGTTCTTCCCTGTTTTCTGATATCAAGATGATATAAAAAAAGCTTTAGAATATTTACAAGCCTAGAGGCATGGACAAGCCCTTAATACAAGTCCATTCCAAGGACTAAGGTCAGGTTTTTGACAACTTCCAGTAATTCCTGCTATAAAAAGCTCCAAGGGTCTAATCTTTTTGAGAACCAGAATGCACATGTACCTACCCACAAAAAGACACTGACATTGCATAATTGAAACTAAAACAAGTATTTAAACTAATATTCAGTCATGAATGTTTATCTCTTATAATTCCTGTATCATAGGTATTGAGGCACCTGAAGGCTTGCAGAGTTTTTCTCTATCATGAATTGGTTCATGTAACAGAAAGCAATCATGTAGACCTAATGTTAGAGAAATCAATCATTCTTAGACTGTGGTATCATTTGGGAAGATTTAGGAAATGCTGTCATGCTGGAAGAAATATGTCACTGGGGGTTGTCCTGAAGGTTTATATCTGCCTACCATTTCCCATTTACACTTTATGCTTTATGCTGCAGATTAAGGATGTGAATTCTTAGCTTCCTACTTTATCTGCTATGTCTGACACTCGTTTCTATGCCACTTTCATGGTGATCCTGTACTGCTCTGGAACCATGGGCCAAATGAAACACTTTTATAAGTTCACATTGACATGATGTTATATCACAGCAACAGAAAAGGCACTATTACACCTGGATTCATTATCTCATGTAATTGAAGAGAAGTATGAAATCTAAAAACCAAATACAGAGGGACACTATAATGCTCAAACAGATTGCTGACACCTGTGAGATTTTTTTCTCAAGAATAATCTTGTGTAATTGAATGTAAGTGTGTTGGCTAAAGATCTTACCAAATCCTTTATTATCAGATTTTCTTTGGTATGTAGTTTTTCAAATCCTCAAAGCCTAATGTTATATTTACAGGCTTTAACAAACCAATTCCACACTAATAGTATTACTCTTATAGGGTTCCTCTCCAGTATGTGTTTTTTTATGTATTTTAAGATAACTGTGTTGTGAATAGGCTTTACCACACTGATTACATCCATATGGTTTCTCTCCAGTATGTGTTCTTCCATGCAATTGAAGACTACTAAGGCGAGGAAAGGCTTTACCACATTGATTACATTCATAGGGCTTCTCTCCAGTATGTGTTCTTTTGTGTCTTTGAAGATCACTATGATGGACAAAGGCTTTACTACACTGATTACATTCATAGGGTTTCTCTCCAGTATGTATTCTTTCATGTGTTTGAAGATCACTATGACAGATAAAAGCTTTACCACACTGATTACATTCATAGGGCTTCTCTCCAGTATGCATTCTTCCATGTCTTTGAAGATGACTATGACGGGCAAAAGCTTTACCACACTTATTGCATTCATAGGGTTTCTCTCCAGTATGTGTTCTTTTATGCGATTGAAGATAACCAAGACAAACAAAGGTTTTACCACATTGATTACATCCATAGGGCTTCTCTCCAGTATGTGTTCTTTCATGTCTTTGAAGATGACTGTGACAATCAAAGGCTTTACCACAATGATTACATCCATAGGGCTTCTCTCCAGTATGTATTCTTCCATGTCTTTGAAGATGGTTGTGACAAGCAAAGGCTTTACCACACTCATTGCATTCATAGGTTTTTTCTCCAGTATGTCTTCTTTCATGTTTTTGAAGATAACTATGATGGGCAAAGGTTTTACCACATTGATTACATTCATAGGGTTTCTCTCCATTATGTGTTATTTTATGCAATTTAAGAGTACTAAGACGAGAAAAGGCTTTCCCACACTGATTACATTCATAGGGTCTCTCTCCAGTATGTGTTCTTTCATGTCTTTGAAGACTATTGTTACATGCAAAGGCTTTACCACACTCATTACATTCATAGGGCTTCTCTCCACTATGTATTCTTTTATGCCTTTGAAGATGACTATGTTGTGCAAAGGCTTTACCACATTGATTACATTCATAGGGTTTCTCTCCAGTATGTGTTCTTTTATGCAATTGAAGATCACCAAAACAAACAAAGGCTTTACCACATTGATTACACCCATAGGGCTTCTCTCCAGTATGTGTTCTTTCATGCCTTTGAAGATGACTATGTTGTGCAAAGACTTTACCACATTGATTACATTCATAGGGCTTCTCTCTAGTATGTGTTCTTTCATGTCTTTGAAGATGACTATAACGGGGAAAGGCTTTACCACACTGATTGCATTCATAGGGTTTCTCTCCAGTATGTGTTCTTTCATGCATTCGAAGATGACTGTATTGCACAAAGGCTTTACCACACTGATTACATTCATAGGGTCTCTCTCCAGTATGTGTTCTTTTATGCAATTTAAGATCACCAAGACGAGGAAAGGCTTTACCACAATTATTACATTCATAGGGTTTCTCACCAGTATGTCCTCTTTTATGCAATTGAAGAGAACTGTGACAAGTAAATGCTTTACCACACTGATTACATTCATAGGGTTTCTCTCCAGTATGTATTCTTTCATGCATTCGAAGATGACTGTGTTGTGCAAAGGCTTTACCACACTGATTACATTCATAGGGTCTCTCTCCAGTATGTGTTCTTTCATGCATTTGAAGATGACTGGGACGAGCAAAGGCTTTACCACATTGCTTACATTCATATGGTTTCCCTATAGTACGTGTTCCTTGATGTATTTGGAGACTACTATGACATGCAAAGTCTTCACTATAATGAATACCTTCATAGAGTTTCTTTCCAGTATGAATTCTTTCATGCCTTTGAAGATGACTCTGATATGCAAATGAATTAACACATAGAGTCCATTCAGAAGATTGGTCTCCTGTATAACTTCTTTCATGCCTGCAAGAATAATTTGCAAATGTGAAAGCTTTACCACATTCATTACACTGTTAAACTTTTATTTCTGTATGAATTAATTTTACAGTTTGGTGTAAGTGTAAAAAAGAAGTCAGATCTTAAAGTTTTATCACTTTGCTTACACTCATGTTATTCCCCCCAAAAAATTAAGGATTATTTTTCTTTTTTGAAGATAACTGTGATGATATGAGTCTTGATTACATGGCTCACACTTATGGCTTTTTTTTCTCTATGACGCTTTTAATATATTTGTAGAGAACTGGAAGAATTCAGAATTTTACCCCCTTAATTTCATTGATAGGTTTTCCTATACTGTGAATCCCACTACATTTGCAAAGTGAACAGGGACAAACAGAAGTATTTACACATTCCTAGTGCTCACAGGGCTTTGCTTCAGTGTGTTTGCTGACATGTTCCCAATGAAGTTGGAAAACTAATTACTTTTAAATTTGAATCACATTCAAGAAGTCTACTCAACATGGGGCTACCACATATCTTCTAATTGGTCTGAGATGGAGAGGGATACATTGTTTCTTTCCATATCCCTATGTTCATATGGCTTGTATCCATAGTGACGTATGATATATGTAGTAAAGAAAGAATAACAAATAAAAAGTTTCTACATTGCCTCCACACAGCTTAACTTTTTGTTTCTCACAGATATGTGGTATAGGTTTTAAGGTTTCTTGACAACAACTTCCTCTTACCTCTTGATTCTAACTACCCATCTCAATAAACTTAGCAGAGACAGAACAACTATATGAGTAACACTAGCTTTACTATGGACTATTTGCTTATTAGAAGGTTTTGGACATACACTTATCAAATACTCAATGTGTATATCTTTTGTAATATGAGTGGTATGAAATTAGATGGATTGGCAGTTCTACAGCATAGCTCTGATGGAGCTATGATTCAAATGCTGATATCTCTTAAGGCTTGACTTCCTTCTAAAGAGAATGACTTTCAAATACAATTCACTTACCTGCCTTTGAGGTATATGGGTTGTGAGTATTTAATGATCATTAATTCACTTTAAGCTATGATCATTTACACTGCTGTATTTCTTTAAAACTTCCAGATACATTAAAATACATCCAGAGGCACATTTGTATCAGCTTGCACATGAAAATTACCTTCCATGTCTTTGAGAACTTTGACAATGTTCTTCAACTTTATGATCTTCCCAAGTGTAGCCTAAAATATAGTATGAGGAAATGTATGAAATATTACTAGAAACTGTGCAAAATTTCAGTTACTATCTTCAGTGATCCTTAGAACCATGCCTAATTTATTCACCTCATTCTTTCTCTTTCTCAATCAGAATTACAGAAGAGCATCAATAGCCAAGAAATAGTTGTCCCCTTATTTTAAAATGTGAAGGAAAATTTTACAGTATTACCTATAGCACTGAGGTTCATATAGGTCTCCAGCATCACATTGTTGTAGAGATTCTTCTGTGAAGGATCCAGCAATGCCCACTCCTCCTGAGTGAAGTCGACATGCACATCATTATACGTCACTGCGTCCTAAAATATGCCATACATAAGTCTAAAACAAAAAGCATGATACTCACAACATTGTAAATGTATACTTCTTTGACAATAGTCACATAAATCTGGTGCTTTCTACATTTATTCTATAACTCAGAGATTATAATATAATCATCAAGTTACTTTAGAAGGAAACTGAAATAGGTTTACCTCTATTATTTCTGAATGCTTTTAATGGGCTAACATCTTGCAAGAGAAATGCCTATTAGCAAACACAGAGACAAGCAAACATATCAACAGTACTGAGGACACATCAGAGAAATTGTATGAACAATTACTAACTACAAAAAAGATGAGTAAGCTGGGTGTATTGGCTCATGCATTTAATCCCAGCACTCAGAAGGCAGAAGCAGGAATATGTGCTTCTGAGTTGAAAGCTAGCCTAGTCTATGCATTCAGTTCAGGACAGTAAGAAGTAAATATTAAGAACCTGTCTGCACTGCAAACATCAATCAAACAAACAAAAAAGATAGGATGAACTCAGGCATTAACTTCAGTTCTGTATTCATCTTCCAGAAACCTGAATTGCTCCAGCTTATATTGTACTTTAATAAATTTTGCTAAAGGGAACTGTGCATTTAAAAAGTTATACATAGTCAGATGATAACATTAGCAATATCAATGTTGATCATAAATAATCAACACAGGGCAGGAGAGATGGCAGAGAAGTTAAGAGCTCTTGCTGGTCTTGTATATAGATGGGCTCAATTGCCAGTACTTACATGGGGGAATCCCACAACTGTTCACATATCAAGTTCATGGGTTCTAAGACCATCTTTTGACTACTGTGAGGACCAGGCATATGTGTAGTGCATATCCATGTATACAGGCAAAAGAATCATATTCATAAAAAATCAAAACAAACACAACAAGCAGGAAGAATGTCACACACCTGTAATCTAATGACTCAGAAGGCCCAGGCAGTATTAATGTCATGAATACTGCATCCTGGGAAAGAGAATGATATCCTAATTTCAAAATTCAAGCTGGGGGTAAAGCTCAGTAAAACACCATATGCTAGACACGTACAAAAAACATACTCGCAGGGCGGTGGTGGCGCATGCCTTTAATCCCAGCACTGGGAGGTAGAGCCAGGCGGATCTCTGTGAGTTCGAGGCCAGCCTGGTCTACAGAGCGAGATCCAGGACAGGCATCAAAAATACAGAAAAAAACCCTGTCTCAAAAAAAAAAAAAAAAAACAAAAAACAAAAAAACCAAAGCCCTAAAAAACCAAACAAACCACATACTCTAGGCCCATCACCCAATAACAGATATGAAAAAACCTCGAATGTTGGTCAACCTTTAATCTCAGGATGTGGGATAAGGAGTCAGGTGAATCTCTGAGTTCAAGGCTAGCCTGGTCTACAGAGCTACTTTTAGGACAGAAGGACTACTCAGCCAAAGCTTGTTTTGTCAGAAACAAAAATAAAAAGATAAAATTAAAAAAAATCAGGCTAGCAAAATGGCTTAGCATTGGATATCAATTCCTTCAATTGTATCTTATGTGAGCTAGTGATACCATTTATAATGGTGGTGAAGTCAAGACAGCACAAGAAGGAAGCTGGCTGATTTGTTTCAACTACAACATAGTAGAAACATAGAAAAGGAAATGGGTTAAGGCTATAGAGACACATATCACACCCCCCAGTGAGAAATATCTTCCAGAGAGATTCCTCCTACTAAAGGTTCCACAAGCACCCCAAATAAGATGCCAAGGGGAGACAAATGTTCAAATACCTCATCCTATCTGGGAACTTTTCATTCAGTCAACTACATTCTGACCCAGGTTACTACAGGCTCATGATCATCCATGTAGAAAATGTACTTAGTCACCTCAATGATTCTCATAGTCTGCAACATCCCCCTACACTGTCCAAATGTCCAAAGTATCTTTTGACACTCAAGACAAATTTTTCACTGTGTTATTTTATAAAATCAGAAAACAAGTTAAATCTTTCCAACACACAAACAGCACAAAAAATCCATTCCCATTCCAAAGGAGAGGAATTGAGACATAGTAAAGAAAGATTGGACAAAGGGAAGACTGAAACCCAGCAGGGAAACTATCAAATCTAGTAGTTACGTGTCAGATACTTGGGCTTCATTTTCAAAGGGCTTAGATGGTTCTCTCCCCACAATTTCCCATACATCTTTCTCTTTGGTTACTTCTACTCCATAAATGCAGCTTTCCATGGAAGATGTCTCATAGCTTAAGTATCTCAGCATCTTATGTTCTCAAAATACAACCCAGGCTTCATCCTCATAGCATCATGCAATAAACTCTCAGTCTCCTCACTGGAGCTCTTACCATACCAAACACAGATGCCTACAACAGTGCTGGACTGAAAACATAGAGTAAGAATGAATGATTTTAAATTTTGCATCATTCTGGTTTCCAGAACCTGTTCAACATCAATGATTCCCCCAAATTTGGCTTCTAAGATGTGAAGGACCCCTGTCATGCTTGGACCAGAATTGCAGCAGGCTTTGTATGAAGTTGCTCCCTGGGACTGGAAATCACTTTGCCTAATCCCTCCATTAACTGTGGCATAGAAGGATGGATTCTTACACTTAGGCCACCTTGCTAGGCTTCCAATGTAGAGTAAGGGCCTTCTTTTTAATGGTGATAATCTCCCTGGAAATTCCTGCCTCTGTTCAGCATTTGACTGCCATCTGAAAATACATAATGTTGTTTTTCTCTACAACCCATAGACTTTTCAATTATTTATGATCCACTTATTGATTTTTTTCCACTGTAGTCTTGAATGAATAAGCAATAGCCGTCCAAAAGAGTCAATATTCCATCTAAGAAATCAGCCCCATTATTTTTTTAATTCTGCCTTACTCAATTTCTTGGGGGCATGGGCATGATAAGAAAGATTAGGGGCCAAAGTACCACACAAATGAGTTCTATTCTAATTCTGAATGAAATCCTGTGACCTCTACCTCCACTGTTTGCAGTATCCTCAACAGTACTTTTATTCCAAATCCTACAAAAATAACCAATTAAGCTCTGTGTACAGCTTTCTATGTCCTTTGCTGCCTAAATCTTGATATCTCCAACATTCCTCCAAAAGTCATCATTCCCAGGTTCTTTGCAGTAACAAAATCACTTTTGGTGTACCACATTCTATTATAACTTGCTTTTTTCTCACTCTGATTAAATTATCTAAACAAAAGCACCTCAGGTAATGAATGTGTTTTTTGGCTGATTCTGCCAGATCACAATCCATCATTGTGGGAGCTTAGGACAGAAATTCAATCTAGCAACTGAAGGCAAAACCATGAGGAATCTTTGTTTCTAGGCTTTCTCTCTGACATGGTCATTGTCTCATGCCCAGGTTGCTGTCTTATCTAGTGCAGGACAACTTTCTTAGGGATATTGTATACTCAGTGGAAGATCTGTCACCCATCAATTATCAAAATCTCTCAAAGACTTATCCATGGTGACTGTGGGCTCTGAAATGTTGACATCTGGAATTAACTAGGACACAGAGACAATAATATATGAGAAGATTTTACAAACCAAAAACCAATGTATCAACTACATCAGTAACATAAATTGCAAAAGTATAAACATTGATGATAATAACAACTGGAAACACAGATATGCCAAGAAATGAGGAAATACAAGCTTCTAAGATCAAGAAGAGAAAACTAAAATTGTTTCTCCACAGAAAATCTCCAAACCAATAAACTCAAGGAACTCCTAACATAATATAGTAATTTACCAGAAAGTAAAATTAGGTGAAGGCTCATTTTCCAGAGAAACAATATAATTAGATTATAACTAATAAAAAAAAATCAAACAATATAGGTGGTACCACTGATAAAAGGAGACAGAAAGACAGACCTACAAATATAGCATTGTCTCTTAAACAAGAACTATAAGATTCTAAGGAAAATCAATATCATAGAAATCACTGACCACCACTCACCCTGTGCACTCCAGTTCTCTCCTTTGCCGATAATAAAAAATGGGTTGGGTGAGGAGGACTGTCTCACTTGAAGTCCTCACACAGAAGCTTCTACACTGGAGGAAATAGTTTTAGCTACTCTGTCATTCTCTTTAATAAAGAATAGGATGTTTGTCAGATCAGTTAGAGAAAAGTTTGTTGCCTAGGATTGAACACTGAATGTATGTCTGCATCAGAGGAAATGAAAAATTTTCAAACCAAATGAAAGATAACAGTTTTTAAAATAAATATTGTATGATTTGGATTGTATACCTAAAGCAACCTGATTTCCTCTAATTGCTTTATAAGTCATAAGAGCTTTTGAAAACAAGTCTAGCCCCATTTTTTTTTTTTTTTTTTTTTTGAGACAGGTTTTCTGTGTAGCTTTGCGCCTTTCCTGGATCTCGCTCTGTAGACCAGGCTGGCCTTGAACTCACAGAGATCCACCTGCCTCTGCCTCCCGAGTGCTGGGATTAAAGGCGTGCGCCACCACCGCCTGGCAGCCCCATTCTTATGTGTGTATTTGTATGAGTGAGACAGAATGTTTTCCATGTGTGTATAGGTGACACACCAAAGAGTATGCCAGGTCCCCAGGATCAGGAATAGCAGGTGGTTAGAAGCCTCCCAACTTGTGTGCTGGTATCTGACCTCTCCCAAGAAGAATACTTATTGAGTAACATGCGCAGCCCACATAGTACTTTTTATCCAATAAACTAAAAGTCTTTCACAGATTAACCACAAAAGAAATCTAAATAAAGAAGTAAGTAAATAAATGATCTCTGGGACCCTAATGAATCAGTATTAAGATGTTGGGTATGGGACCAGGTAGGCTACCCTACCCACAGACCTTCCCCACTCTCTGTTACCCAAGACCCAATACTCAAGGTTGCCCCTAGGGCTGAAAGAGAACTCCAGCTGTTACTCCTCTCTCTTTCCATGTCTCCTGTAGATTCCAAAGACCATCCCCACCTACTCTTCCCTACTCACGTCATATCTGAGTCCTATCTCCTAAATGGGGTA